TTTAAATATATATAGATTGATCATTAAAATTTATCAAACTATTATAAATTAGTTATTAAACTTATCAAATTATTATAAAATAATTCTTAAAACTTATCAAATATTATTAGTATTTTATAACGTAGAAGTAAGCTTATACATGAGTCGAGTCAAGCTCGAATATTGTTGAACTCGACTATACTCGAAAGACGATGAGCTTAAAATTGTCAAGCTGGACTTGAAGTCGAAATAAAAAATTAAAGCTCGACTCGAGCTCGAAAAATTTGAACTCAAAATATTCTTAGACTTAACTCGATTGAAATTTGAACTCGAACGAACATGAACCCAATGTGCATGAAAACTTATGTTGTATTTAAAAAAACAACATATAAATATAATTGTTACAAATAATTTATTTTAATTAAAATTTAATATATTTTTTTCGAGTTGGTTGTACATTTTTTGAGTCAAATATCAAGTAGTTTGTTTCAACTCATTAATAACTCAAGTTGAATTCGAACTCGAATTGAGTCCATTCAATTTAAATATCAACCCGAGTAATTCACCTACGTTAGGAAGCAGTAATTGTATTGTTAGGGTGTTGAAGAGCCAATGATGCAGTGGATGTGTCCCCATGGCTTTGCTTCTTATCCTTTTCAGGGGGGCGGCGTCAGTCAAACACTATTCCCCTCAACAGCAGCAGTTTTAGCTTCACTCGGAAACTTGTCAACTAATTCTCCACAAACAATTATCATCTCAACAGTGTTAATTAAAAAAAATCACCATTAAAAGATTACGTTAAATACTAAAATTCTATATATATATAGCTGTACGAATAAAATAATTTAATTGAATGAAATTGTATCATATATTGTAATCCACCATGATCTTTATTTTTTTTAAATTCCACCAATGATATTCTCAAATAAGACTTGTTGATGGGAAATGATACGACGACTATAGCGAATTATCCCTTTCGGTTTATACTGAGAATCGCAACCAATAGAGACGACTATTAACGAATGCTAGTATCTCTATTTTTATCAAATAGCATAGGAGGAGTTAGTGAAGGTGAGGTGATTCCTTCTGGTCTTTCATTCTCTTAGTCGGTCAAAATATTTATAATGATTCTTAATTCTGATGTCAAGTGTATAGATATGATGACTATTTATAGGATGTCAGGTCAGATGATGGTAGATTGATTATGGTAATCATGTGGATCAATTAAAAGTCATGTAACAAATTGTGACTTTCGAAGGACGTTAGATATTCGTGATCCTCTTCCGGAGACATTTACTTATATCTTCTAGAGTTCCATGAGTGTCAAAATATTGCATCATAGATGCATATGGATCTCTGAGGTTATTAGGTGCAAAAATGATATGCGTAGGGTCTTTTTAACAGAGTACAACATTAATGTTAATAAACTAGATCACTCTTATTAATTTGAACGAAAAAATAATAAATCAGAAAACGATCATTCTCTTGTCGATTATAATTCTCTATCCAAATTAAAAGAGATGAACGTTATACTCCATTATTTCCATCGACGAGACCGAATCTTCTGATGGCACTGTCAACCAGGCTGTTGCATGAGCAGACTGACAAAGCGTATTAAGGCAAGCTTCCATTAATAAGGAGAATCAATGATGTTTTCGGTCAAAGTTAGTTAAACAAATTAATTGGAGTCAACAATTATTGGGGGGAGGGTCCTATCTCCTTCTGCCCGCCTGCACCAGGTACTCAGTAATCGACACACACTCTAAATAATTTATAGTTACATTGGCATTGTGCATGAAACAGCTAAGCTCTGTGATGAATGCTATACAAGTTGGTAATCATTGGCACATTGGCATTCATGTTTCAGGCTTGGAGTGTGCTCCGGATCAATGAATTTCCCCATAAACCACCAAATGAGTTGATGGTCCCCATCATCACCCTCTCTTTGAATTGGGCCTTATGAAGATGCTACTAAATTATTGTTTTTTGACCTTTCCCCCTTTGTCCCCACCTCTAACAAATAACTCTCATACTTTTAACACTCAAAAAAAAAAAAAACTCTCATACTTTTAAACCCTATTCTTGAAATACGATTGCACATTCTAAAAATTTCAAATTCTAACATAACTTAAGTAACCCTCCTAAATTTTCTAATACACTTCTTAAAAATTCACTCCTCCTAACAGAAAACTTTGCACCCGTCTTTGGGTTCGAATATATGTAATCGTGTTAAAATTTATATAGCATGAATTATAAACGAATTCAATTTTGTGATTTGATTTAACATTGAAATTGTTGGATAAAGCTACAATTGAAGTGATAAAGTTGTTTTCCATTGTAATTATAGATTTAACTAGTTCAAGCGGTATCATATTCAGAGGAATAATTAGGATAAAATTATAAAGAGAAAATAATGACCGAAAATGTCTTATAATATACGATTTTAATCAATTTTTTTTGGATTTGCCAAAATGACCAACAAAATCGCAACGCAATCTCAAACTTCGCAACTCATTTTCCAAATTCGCGTTGCGATAGTCCAAATTCGCATTGCGATATCGCAACGCGATCTTAAATTCGTAACTCAATTTTCAAATCCGCGTTGCGATAGTCCAAAATCGCATTGCGATTTTCCATTTCGGGGTTGCGATAGTCTTGCTCTTGCATTTATAGTCAATGCATGCAACTTACAATGCTCAATCCCACATTGTATTGGAAACACTATTGGGAATGGGTATTTAAGGCTTGAATTTCCCACATCTTTGTTGAGTGAAAGAGAACAAGGGGACTCTCGCGCGCCGCCGCCGCCGTCTCGTCCGTGGTCGTGGTCGTGGTCGTGGTAATACGTGTCTTCGACACGTCCGCGCTGATACATCTTTTTAGAGAAAATTCTTAAGAAACAAATACAATGGAAAATCGCAATGCGATTTTGGACTATCGCAACGCGAAATGGAAAATCACAATGCGATTTGGACTATCGCAACGCGAATGAATCGCAATGCGATTTGGACTATCGCAACGCAATGAATCGCAAGCGATTTGGACTATCGCAACGCAAATGGAAAATCACAACGCGAATTTGGACTATCGCAACACGAAATGGAAAATTGCAATGCGATTTGGACTATCGCAACGCGAAATGGAAAATCGCAACGCGAAACTGGAAATTCGCAACGAATTTGGAAACTGAGTTGCAAAGTTAGAGTTCGCGTTGCGAATTTAAGATCGCGTTGCGATTTGTTGGTCATTTTGGCAAATCCAAAAAAGTTGGTTAAAATCGTATGTTATAAGACATTTTCGGTCACTGAGGTTATTTTCTCAATTATAAAAGATGACAAGTTACTTATCTTTGAATTGAACAGATTTTAAAAGATAATTAAGTCATAAATAAAGGGTTGGGGTTTAATTTCACTAATTTCAAAACTAGGACTCTGTAAGGACTCACGTCAACAATTCCCAACTTAGAAACCTTGTTGAATTGGGAGGGGTTGAATTATAAATTAGCCACTAAAGATCAAGGATCAATAAAGCTCACAACAAGAACCAAATAATTAACCTACCTTAATTTAGAGTATAAATCACATGTTAAGTATAGGTTGTTTGTTTCAAGTGTGGGTAAGCATTAAACATTATTGTTTCCCTATCATTTTATCATAGAATAGTCAAAATTAAAGCATTATAATGTTAATTATTAGGTGTCTGGATTTAATTAAGAGATGTGCAAATCTTGGAACAAGCTTTTCAGTAGCTGGACATGATCATATTTAACATCTGTCAATTATTTTTTCGATGCCGAAAATACCCTTGGTAAATGGAATTTTAACTAATATACCAAATGGGTCAAGCCATTGAAGGGGTACATTGGTCAGTGGGAGAGACGTCACATGGATTGAAATTTACAGTCATGTGATCACATGCTTAAGATGACTCAAAGGGGATTAAGCTTTTCTTCTTTATATTTGCTTCACTTATCCAAATAATTAATTAAAATTTTATAATGTCACTAAATCTTAAAAGATAAGCATATTACCTTTTTTTATTTTTTTTTTCCATGTTTCTTACCCTAATTTTCCCTCCTAAATTTAGATTTTTTTTCTTACCTATTGATAACGTGCAAACATCATGCATACGTTACTACTTAAACCTGAAATCTCTTAGGAGAACAACACTCTCTTTAATCACTAAGATCGTTTGATAAATTATCTTAAAAATACTTAAAAAATCATGTAATATACAAGTTTAAAATATTTATCGAGAAGGAAATATAATTATCGATCAAATGAAAAAATTAAGAGCGAGTTGGGTCTAATCCCCCCATTCTAATTCTTAATATTTGATGATTAACCAAACAATTTCTTTCAAATGTTTTACTATAATAATTAACATTAAATTAATTTATAAAATTTTAAAAATTATTAAATTAACAGAATTTCCGATCAAAGAAAGGTATCAACTTTAAAAAAAATCCAAAAAGAAAAAAGTTGATTTTTTATAAAAAAAAACATTTTATTATTTTTTTCTAAAAAGGAAAGGAAAAGTCCTTTTTGTCCATTACTAAATGTAAAGTGTTGTGTCCATGTTATGCTTTCAATATACTAAACAGCGAATTAGCTCACTTGTTCCGGCTTCACCAGACCACATTAGCTTTTATAATCTCACCGTCCACTCAACAAAGTTAACAATGACAGAACCGAGTATATAATTAATTGAGTTAATTCCATCCTACATCCCTGGATTATGATTCATATTTTAAATTCATCGATAAGTGTTCTAACCGAAGCTTCGAACTAGAGCATCTTTCGATTAAGTCCTAAGCCGACGAATAAATAGAAGGAATGATGCTTCAATTTAAGGATTCTGTTGGAATAATTTTCCATTTAGGGACCAATTTGGAACTTATCCTATTGTTTGGGGACATCTAGTAAAATTAGCCCTAATTAAATATTGAGTTATCAGCATAAAATGCATTTCCTTCCATCTCCTCCTTTATAAATCACAAGTCCCATGCATATGTCATCAGGCACAGCTCCAACCTTCAAAAATGGCTCTCGAGGCCGTTCAAGCAAGCTCTAGAAATAGCATAGAACCGAATTCGGGTCCGAGGATTTCGTTCTCGGCCGATTTCCTCGACGAAACCAACTTCATATCCATCAACCCACATTCTCAAAACGAAGAGATGAAGGCAAAGAAGGAGAAAGATAAAGCGAGAGTTGCAGACTTCGAGTTCCTTTCAAGCAAAGTGAGCAGCCACGCCATGTTGACGGCCGACGAGCTTTTCTTCGAAGGAAAGCTACTCCCCTTTTGGCAAATGCAGCATTCCGAGAAGCTCAAACAAATCAGCCTTAGAAAAACCAAAGATACGGAGGAAGAAGAAGATGATGATGATGATGGTGAGGTGGTGAGGGTGGAAGAGGTTATAAACAAGGATGAGAGTAGTAGCATGAGTTGGTTCGTGGATGATGACCCGTCTCCTAGGCCACCGAAATGCACCGTGTTGTGGAAGGAGTTGCTGAGGCTGAAGAAGCAACGGGCTTCGTCCTTGTCACCCTCGTCTTCCTCGTCATCGTCGTCTTCAAGCTCGTTGGCCGACATAGCTGCATCTGAAGAAGGGAAACAAGGGTCTAGGAATAGAGATAATAAGCATGTGAAGAGGATAAAGAAAGGGTTGGAAAGAACACGATCAGCGAGCATTAGAATCAGGCCAATGATTAATGTTCCTATTTGTACACAAGTCAAAAGCAGTGCATTGCCTCCTCTGTTTCCTCTTAAGAAAGGAAGATTAGAGAGGTGAAGCAAAAAACAACAAAGCAATAGCTGAGTTGAGTTTGATCTGAAAAACTAGGCTTCTCCAATATGCTATATTTGTTTTTAATTTTTAATTTTTCAAAATTTTCTGCTCTTTTTCCTATGATGGATGGAATCTCAGATGTATCACAATTTACAATGTAAATGTTGACTGGTATTTACTCTCTTTGCTTTTTCCAACTTGGTTTCACTTCATCAGGCACCAATGTATTATCAGCTAGCAAAATGAGAAGTCATTTACAGAACAACCACATGCAAAGATGCAAAGTTTTATGAATTTTCAGGGTCCCACTCTGAAAGATCAGCCAAAGAGGGGAAAAGAAAAGCCTGATGAACGGGGCTAACAGCAATGAATTACTTTTGGGGAAGAAGAAAGGATCTGAAAAAGTTAAAATGGGTTCTGATTCATCATTTATGAAATATATTTTAAAAAAGTCGGGTAATTTAGTGCATCTGATCTAAGGCATATAGCACCCAAGTATGTCACTCACAATTTCAAAAGATTCTCTATTTGTCCTCATGTTGTTTCCAACGGGTTTCGCAAGTAAATGGACATTGACCATCTATGCTTCTGACAGGTAAATGCCATCTAAAATTTTAAAAGAACTCGACAGAGATGACTCTTTTTACCAACACAAATACATCCTGGATGGTAATTCTATTAAATATGTTAAAACTTATGTATAACACAAATTATTAAAGCGTGGAGAACCCATCAAGTGAATCAGTGATAAAAGAGTTATTCTCCTTAGAGGCCTTATGTTCTTTGCAAGATGCATTGTCAATTGATTAATAAAGTTCTGAACAGATACTACCTTATAATCACCAACTATTTAAAAAAACTTATTGAATTATCGAAATCCATAACACCTTAAAAATCATTACAACATAAAAGGTAAAGTACACCGGAGGTCACTGAACTATGCTTAGTTCAGCATAACACCATACATGATTTGTTGGTCTATTTTCCACTATTTATCTATGTACCAGTAAAATGGTGTTATTTTCACCATTTAGAAAAGCATTCACAACTGTATATTCAAGGTATGGCTATGATGTACAGGCTGAATATGGACAAATTATTTCTAGGATAAGATGGAAACTTTGCAATCAAACAGAAAACATTGGTGAAACTTACAGCAAAAATCAGACCAAAATGATAGCTTTTTGTACAGAATAAATATAGACACATAGAATTTGGTGAAATCTTGTATTTTGACCATCCCAGTCGTGTGAGGTTACCTCTGAATGCGGGTAAAATCTACATAAGAAGGTGCTGGCGATAAAAACTGATTTTCAGAAGTCCTAAAACAAATTACAGTTTAGGCTAATCCGTCAGTTTATTATTCACAAGCTGTAAAGCTTGAAGTTAATGAGCTAAGAATGAGTGGCATGACTAGTGTAAAATTATACTTACCTCAAGTTCAGTCCAGATTTACCAACCAGGCTATCCGGTTCAAGATAAAACAATGGAAATATAACTGAAAAAATTTAATATCTTCAGGAAGGTGAAGGACCACAAACTATATGAAATAATAGCTGTTCCCTCAAGTATATAGGACATATCACATGTAAATCCTACATAAATCGGTTTCTTTAGCTCAAACGAGTTAGATAAACCAAGCAAGGTGAATTCTAGTTGATTAGAATTTTTAAGCTATATTAAACAAAAAACGAGTTTCTATATGGAACAAAAGGGATAGGGCAGTTCTAAATGAAATTAAAGATCAAACAAAAGATTTACGGACATTCAGTCCTTTCTATAGACACCTAGGTTTTATCTCTTGGCTTTCTCACCAAGAAGTTCAAACCACTAAGTCTTCAATATTACAACTTCAATTTCAAGGTTAAGGTATAACCTTCACAAATTCAACTGACAAACTTGGTTTTACCCAAATCTCAGAAATTCACTCCCCTTAAACTAAAAAACTCAAGATAATATACATAGATTTTTTACCTCACAAAGGTTGATTTTGGCAAATTTTTGGTACAATTACAATGAGAGATAAGATAATAATACAAGGAGTGAGTACAAGAGATGAAAAAGAAAAACTAAAGCTTTAACAATTGAATGCTTTAAGAGTTGAATCTACCATTCTTGTACTTCTAATGTTGAAAAGGCTCTATCGTTTATTGTAAAAAGAACTGTTGGTTTTGATCCAAATTCGACCAAAGGTTTGCTGTCAAGGACAAGGATCGATATTATATGAAAACCAATCCTTTTGTTTCTCAAGCTTGATGAGCCAATTTTCAATTCGAAGTACCAAAGAACAGACCCCTACGAATAGAGGATCGATCTCTTCGGGTTTGGCAACCAAAGTAACCATTCTGTGAGAAAAATGATTGATCATTTTCACAACAGAATCAATCCTTTTCTCAAAATAAAATTCTAACAATTTTATCTTTGAAAAATGATGACTATTTAACTTAAAAAACATTCGGTAAAAGATCATTTCTTTGACAAATTTTGACAAATAAATTTTTCAATATTCTCAATCAAGCTATTTAGCTTAATGTTTTGTCAATTCAAAATGAGGATCAATTCAAAGATAACATTATGAAACTTGGCTCTATTAACAAGGGATATTTTTCGGGTCATGCCATTCTCCATTAATATAGGAAAGAAACCATGTGCAACAGACCGGGTACATGGGTCCAATAATAATAAGTTCGATGTTGAGATAACGAGAAATTCATCGAAAAGGTCGATAAGACTCAACCTTTTAAGTCTACTACATTCATCTCCCACCATTTTATGAGGCAATCTAAGAAAAACTATGCAGAACCTATAAGTGATTTTAGTGGTAAAAGAGTGTTATTCTCCCTAAAGTTCTCGAGTTCAAGCAGCTGCAGCTGCATCTGCAAGGTGTGTATGCGTTGTCGATGGCTAAAAAAGATTCTGAAAAAATATTACTTTGTAATTAACCCAAACTAATAAAAGAAAGAATTTATGTAGCACAAGATAGAATCAATCTGATTACTCCATTTACGCATCTTGAGTATCAAACATACCATAACAAAATTTCTTTAATCCAAATTTCTCCTGCTACTTGAATCTAACACAAGTTAACCATTATCCTTTAGAGGAATTTAGTTGTTCTACTATTTTTTAATCCTAAAATAAGTAGAGTTCGATTAGTTTAGCATCTAACCTAGTTACAGATAGTACTCAAATTGTAGTAGCTTTTATTATTTATAACTTCCTAAAAACAAATCCATTACAACAAACTGTATTATAGAAATAAGAAGGATAAACTACTAAAAGAGCCTTGAACTAGTTTAATTTTGTTAATTAAGCCTCTATACTTTCGCGGTACCCAGATAAGCCTTATATCTCGATTTGGACTTAAACTAGCCCTTATTTCAAATGAAATATTGATTTATATTATGAGTTGTGTTTAGGCATAAATTAAAGGTTAGTGGCTTATTCATATGTGAATTAAAGATTAAGGGCTTATTTGGAAACAAGTTAAAGTTTAAGGTCTTATTTGGCTGCAAGTTAAAGATTAGGGGCTTATGTGGATACTAACTAAAGTTTAAGGGTTTATTTAGGTGTAATAAAAATATAAGGGCTCACATAAATAAAGTGACAAAGTTCAAGGGCTTATTTAGTATAATGGCCAAATAAGACTAACTTACAGTTCACGCTATCTTCCTATGTCTCAAGTGGTGATGGGATATCTCCATTGAATTGATTGTTTTCCAAATGCCTTTAACAAAAAGAAAAAAAAAAGTGGCATATCAAATGTAGTTTTCAAATAAAGATTTAGACAATTCTATATGAACGGCCACGTACAAATTATTTAGGAAGCCGAATGACTCAATGAGCAAAAGGCTCAAAAGAAAAATAAACTTACAGTATTTGTAGTAGCTTTAATGAACTGAGGTCAGGTATTACTTCTGATAAACTGTTATTACCAAGCCAACTGTTGAGAGAACGGAAAATTCAATTAGAATGTTATGATCACCGAATCTCATCACTTGAATATCAGCTTCAATACCATACATGCCACTATTGCAGTTAAATTAGCAATGCCTGATGACAACGATCCCGAAAGACCCATATGGACAGCAAAAAAACTGCATCTTAACTCACAAAGTAATCGCACGAATTCGTTCGCCCTCTGAACATGTACTTCCAGTCCATGCATTATTAAGGGACAGGCAAGAAACACCGTTTCAATCAAGTGGAGGGTTTCACGGACTGTTTTTGAAGTTCTCTAGAGCTCTAACTGCAACAAAAAATTGAGATCCTTTTCAAATAAACAGGGAGAGGAATGAAAAATTCAAACAAAATTAGAAATTAAAGTTTTCGTGCAAACCAGCAACAGACAATCACACAATATCGGTTAAAGCATTTTTCAAGGAAAAAAATCAATTTGATTTCACATAACAGCAGTAGAAATCATTATCAACCATACCATCCCTTGTGTGAGTTCTTCTAGCTCATCAAAAATCTCCCCAGCATTGATTAAAGGATTAATATTTGGATTGGCAGCAGGACTCGAAGTAATCCTAGTTTGACCGTCAAGTGGCCATCTGGTAGTGAAGATCGCAGCTCCAGCCGAAGTCGCTCCCAAATTGCTACAATACCTTACATCATTTACGTGTATGTCAAGCACTCTTGAGCTTGACGAGATTGAATCACTATTATCTGCAAAGTACAAAGCAATGTAATAAGTTGAGTTTGGAAGTGACACAGGCGGTCATATCAACTCCAGGGGTTCTAATTGATCCGTCGAAAGTGCTCGTTCAAATACTTTTGGAGGGGGTACATTCCAGAACCCAGAAACAGGTGGAGTATTGTTGCTTGCTATAACATAAACATTTTCTTCACATGGCTCCTAATATCGATGAAATTGATCATCAGGGTATCTTATCAAAGCACAAAACACTCGTATTCAACAATAAAGTAAGTATCTAAAGAAAAAGGAACTCCCACTTCAGACTTCAGAATTAATTTAGCCATTTTTTTTAATTTTGCCTACCATATGTTTTTGCTATATGTTGTGGAAAAACTACGAAAAATCATAACAACAAAATGAGCCTGCAAAAGGAATTGCTTAAGACTTACCTAATAATGGATCCATT